CCCCCCCGACAGTGTATTGTGTGCAAAGGCAGAGCTGGTGATTACTGATCATGTTACAATGGGTGAGAGGGAGGGGGGCAGCTGATTACAGCTTCACACCCTGGTGTCAGACTGATTTACCTGTGGAGAACATTTTTAAACTTCAGGCCTAATAAAACCTTCATAAAAAAAGAAGAAAGCCTGCAATGTGAGTCATGAAAATGTGCAGATGTATACATCATCACTGCACCTCTTCTTTACCACAATAAATGCTAATCACTTACAGAGGTGGAAATGGACTTTAAGCTTTAAATTCACCCAGCTTGATGTTCCTGCTTCGAGCTGCCAGTGGATTACCATTAGGTGAGGTTGAGAAAAATTCAATTAAGTATAGGGATCCTTAGCGTTGGTACCACGCAAGGATGTGTGCTTTCTCCACTATTGTATGAGATCCGTCTGTTAAAGTGATATATGTGGATATTACACCATGAATCTAATTTTAGATGGCCATGAGTCATTATACAGGCTTGAAGTGGATTTGCTGCCTCGGTGGTGCAGTTGTAACAACTTGGAGCTTCATATGCTCAAGATTGTGGAGAATCATCTTGCAGTCCTTTTGCTTACTATATTTAATAGTACTGCATCGACTGTGGAGTCCTTCAGATTTCTGTGAACTACAATTTTGCGACATCTGAGATGGACTTCCAATATTGACACAGCTCTAAAAAAAGCTCAGCAGAGGATGAATTTCCTGCCTTTGCTCAAGAGGTTTAACCTCCCCAAGATCTCCTTATACAATTGTATACTGCAGGAATTGAATCTGTTTTTTTAACTTCCATCACTGTTTGGTTTGGCTCTGCCTCCAAACAGGATAGGAGCAGGTTACAGCAGACTCTTAGGTTTGCAAGACCAATCATCAGTGCTAATTTGCCCACAATTGTATGTTTTCTTGTGGATGTTTTCAAGGCTAGTTATTACTTAAATTATTATTAAAACCAGTAGCAACTGAATGCAGAGACAATTTATGATAATAAAGAGTAGATGCATAGTCCTATACAACCGGCCCTTTGAGGGTAACCATACTGCTGATGCGGCCCCCGATGAATTTGAGTTTGCCACCCCTGTATTAGGGGGTTGGTGTGTATGTTTAATTGTATATTTTATTATGTCTTTTTTTATGGTTAAGTACATTGAGAGTTCTGTTTAAACAGCCCCGACTCTGGCGACGTACACTGTACGTCGTCAGTCACGAAGGGGTTAAACTGGAAACATATTAATTTTATGTTGTACATACTTTTTCCAAATAAAGCTGATTCTGTTTCTGATTGGTTCCTGGTTCTGAAAAGGGCATCTCTCAGATACAGGGTGATCACTCAACAAGTAGACGGCACAGGTATTCTACCATAGTCCTTTTAGCAACGTCTTCTCAGCACAGGACATGGTGCTGAGGAACCTAAATACATAGGATGCAGCCAGGAATTGGTTAAATGGAAAGTATAGTGTATTTTCAATAAGCAAATATTTTGTTAAATTTTAGTATTCATATTTTTTTTTACTATTTTGTTTAATTTTTACGTGCTTGCTTTTGATTATTTTTTTCCTATTCATTTTGTACTAAATTAAAGTAAATTAGCCACTAGAGAAAGGGTAGATTAGCAACTGCAATAACTGTGCAACAGCTGCCTGCTTAACAACTGTTGAAATATGATATCAGCCACAGGGAGCACATTGCTTTCTATGAGTCAGACAGCTCTAGGCTTATAATGTGAGAAGGAGATGTAAAGTAGAACCACTGTGTAGTATTGCAAAGTGGAAGGGAGAGACAGTGTATGTTATTAGAAAATATGACTGCCCCCATGTGATCAATAACCTTAACACAGAAGAACACAAATTGATAAGATTTGTTGGCCTTTTCCCAATTGGTAAGATTGGTTTTGCTTTTACAAAGGTGAAAAGGTTTTACATGCCTTTAAACCCAGACCAGTTAAGGAAGCAGCTAAAGTGCAAACAGAGTAGACACAAATGTATGGATAGCTCTTGTGCTTGAACATATCTGTAAATAATTATACTTCCTAGACAGCTAAACTGTCCTCCAAATTTGTGTAAATTGCAATGTTAGATAATAATGACTTTTGCAGTGTTCAATTACCTTTTATATTGCATAGTTTTATCCAGATTGTTTTGTAATCTCACCATATTATCATCATCATAATAATTCTGTCTATAACGCAGATACTTGTCGTCCTATTAATTTAGCTGTTTGTGCTTTTTTTTAGATACCATGATCAACAGGATGTTACAAGCAACTTTCTTGGAGCAATGTGGTTAATTTCAATTACTTTTCTATCAATCGGATATGGGGACATGGTACCGAACACATACTGTGGAAAAGGAGTTTGTTTACTTACTGGAATTATGGTAAGAAGACATTTAATCACTATGACTTTTCTTGAACTTGATTGAACATTGATGAAACATTGATGAATGAGATTGGTTGTTCTTTTCTCCTGTATATTTCCTGCAACTCTTTGCCTTAAGTTACTGAAAATGTAGCACCAGATCTCACATTCTCCTAAGCTTAGGTATTTTTCTGTGTAAGTGACGTTTATCTCTTTGATCTTAAAATGCCCATTACATGCTGGCATGTTATTTAATTGTAATGTAAAAAAGCAAATTTTTTAAAAAAACCTATAAAAAGTATAAATTGGGGACCAATGGCTCTCTGATTGGCAACTCTGATATTTCCTGGAGTCCTTGTCCCAAATTGGCATCCTGCCCCACCGCTTTTGATTTTTTACTCTCACAGGATTTTCCCCTGACCCACATTGTTTCTCAGAACTATTCCATCCTATCTTCCTTGGCCCCCCCCCCCCCCCCCTTACACCTCAGTTTGGGAAAAGGATCTTAAACTATAGACTGGAAAGATTGGGAAACAGTTTTTTGCATTATCACATAAACTATCTATAGCATGCAAATCTCAGGAGAAAAACCTAAACATTTTAGCTCGTTTGTACAGGTGCCTGGTGGTACTTCACCCACCCTGGCAGAATGATCTGTTAAATTGGCTCACATTGCAGACTTGGAATGCTTACTGGCATCTGAGTGTAATGCTTGAGATCATTTTCACATCACCTGTTCTGCTTGAAGTGTGTTTCGTGAGTCTTTAGATTTCCTGCAGTTGTTATTTGGGTTAGGAACTGGAAAGTTGTGTCTTGGGGCTGTGGCAATGGGTGGATGCTTGCCAGCTTTTGTATTGTCGGCTACTTCACCTTTTGATTCTCTAGTCTTTTACTTTTTCCTCTTTGTTCTGTTATCCACCTATACCTGGTCATATCTGAAGTCCCTTCTCTTTTTCTACTGTTCTTCTCCTCTATTATGTCCTTTGTTGTTTACCTCTGTCCCTATTACTCTTTTGAAGTGTTCATGGGTTAGTGCTGGGACCAAACACTTCTCCTAAGTTTTATGCTGCATGATCTAGAGATTATGGCTTAGCTTTTATGTCTTCTGCTATGTTTTACAATACAATTTCCTGGTTTTCATGTGTAGCCTTACTGGCTAATCTACCTTGGTGTATTTGGGGCTTAGATTCCAGCATTCTTTGAGTCCCTTATTGTCTTTTTTTGGCTTTGTTCATCATTTACTGTGAACCACTATCCTTTTGTTATATCGTGCCCCTAATGGAGACAACCTTTTCGTATTATTATTTGTATTGTATTCTACTTTTATATGTTAAAATGTTAACAAAATTGAGATTGAACTACAGAGTACAAACTGGAAGGGACATCCATGTAATTTCCTAATTACAGGGAATGCAACAAGAGATGCAAGGGGGCAATCAGGGCAGCTAAAATAGATAATGAGAAGTACATTGGTACACTAAGTAAAACAAACCCCCAAAAAAGGATCAAGATGTATATCAGCAAACTACAGACCAGTCAGCCTAATATCAATAGTATGTAAAGCATTTGAGTAAATGGTAAGGGACTATATTCGGAAATTTGTCTGCGATAAAATTATTATAACTTACAACCAGCATGGATTTGTGAAAGACCATTCTTGGCAGACCAACAAGCTGAGGAAGTGAGCAAAAAGTTGGATAATGCAAGACTGACATAGTTTATCTACATTTTACTAAGGCTTTCACTACCGAACCACACAAACATTTAGTTTATAAAGTAAGGTGAATTGAAGTTGAAGACATTGTATGTACATAGATAGGAAACTGGTTGCACGGACAAGTCAAGAGAATAAGAGTAAATTACACATTGGGGTTGATATACTATAGGCAAATAGACTGTTCACTTTGCAGCCTTTTGCAATATGCACTTTGCAGGGGAAGTTTCTCTTAGCTTGATGTATGTGGTGACATTTCACTATGTGAGGACAATAAAAAGAAATTATTTTTGCTTGCACATAAGTCGGTGGTGGAAGTCAGGAAAGCTTCACCTTTTTCTCTAAGCTAAGGGGAAACTTCTCCTGCAAAGTGCAAATTCCCTTGCAAAGTGTACAGCCTTTTTGCCTTTAGTAAATTATCTCCATTCTCTAAATGGCCTAAAGTGTGAGTGGCGTGCCCTAGGCATCTGTCTTGGGGCCAATGCTGTTTAACTTTTTTATTAATAATATTGACATTGGAATAAAGAATTTCATTTCAGTGTTGATGATACCAAATTATGCAGGAAAATAAATTCTGTATAAGATGTAGCAAAGTTACACAAAGACCTTGATAAAATAGAGGTGTAATATACTTACCTTCTCTGTCTCTCCGGTGTTCCGGGTGCGGCTGAAAGCTCCGCCCACCTTCCTGCAACGTCACTCAGCTCCTCCTCAGCAGCCGGCTTAAGCCCAGCAGATTCAATTGCTCGGCGTCCAAGCAATACAGCTGACGCTGGGCAATCCGCTCCTATCCCCTGCTCCTAACGTTGGCTCAAGCTTCTGAGACATCTGGTTCCCCACCACACACTGCTGCGGTGACTTCAATTAAACAAAGTGTGCCTCTACATCCAACCACCTTGTTCGTAACTCTGCTATTTAAAGACTGCTGATCAAGTGATTACTGAACGAGCTCAGACTTCACTATCGGGTTCTACCATGGCTTCCAATAAGCAATTTGAGTATCAAAGGAACTTCAAGATGCCATCTCTGAATAGTGATCGTTTCTCCCTCTACCTGTCTGTCTCCTAAACCATTTCAACTGGAGGAATCACCCTAACCACAAGTAGTCATCCACATAATCGTATGCGAGGGTCTTGCTATATTTTCTGTATATTTAAAGTGACGGAGCCTCCTAAATTATTTTCGTGTCCAAAAGAAAGGTATGAACATTGCTAATATTGTTGAACTATTATTTCCTAAAAACCTGACTGCTAATTGGTGTTACAGACTATCTATTAAAGGTTGTTTAACCCGATCTGGTGGGGTGGGGGGGGCAACACGGCAACTAGATGTAAATGCATGTTCTGACAGACTGTGATTCCATGCAAGAAAAAAGATTTTTCAGTTTATGGACTGTACCTCAAATGAGCCAAGGAGGTAATTATACCTGGCACTGCATCCACAGAACTTTGTAAGTTGTGCCTGCAGTTGTGATCCTAGTAATTGAGCTAAACTACTTGCCTGTTGCATTACAAATTGCTTGGGCCCAAAAGATGGATCCAGCATACATTGCTGCACATAAGATTGCGTTAAACCAAAAATGTAATTCGCAAAAAGTCAGTGATCTGCAATTAGAGAACCAAGAGCTCAGACTTTATATATCCCAGAACTTTACTAATAGGCCATCCCAGAGTGAATTACCAGAACCTGAAGATCAGTCCTCCAAATACCTTTTCAGGTGATAGGAACAGATATTGTGAGTTTGTAAACGCATGTAAATTATTATTAGATCTCAAACCCAGGACTTACACAACTGACAGGTTAAAAGTATGCACTACAATTTCCTGTTTGAGGGGTGAACCCCGAGCCTGGGCGATTAGTTTCCTTGAAAGAGATGACCCTGTCCTTAACTCTCACTAGTTTTTGTTCTGCTATGTTTTTACTTTATGATGACCCCAGTAAACAACTCTCAGCTAAAAATTATCTATGATCCTTAAAACAAGGGAAAAGACCTGTGGAAGACTCCATCGCAGAATTAAAAAGCTGGTCCACTGAGTCAGAGTGGAACGATGTTGGTTTAAGGAGCCATTTCAGACTGGGGTTGTCTGACGCCATAAAAGATGAGTTAGCCAGAACTGAAGCACCAACTACTCTTGATGCGTTGATTCACTTATGCATCTCTATAGACAGATGTCTAAGAGAAAGAAGGGCTGAAAAAAATTTGGGGTCCTACGTCTATCCACAGAAGAATATCCCTAAAGATACAGAGGTTCCAAAGGACATCTGTACTGTTTATGGTCCGTTAACACCGACTGAGAGATTAAGATGGAGAACACATCAACTCTGCATGTATTTTGCCACCCCTGAACCTGTAGTCAGTAAATTGTCCTCTGCTCAAGAAAAATAATATTGGTGAGTCGCCTTTTATCTGCAAACTTACAACCACCAATCTTTCATTTACTAATTATTTCACAATTTCTTTAATTATAAAGTGATACCAAAAGAGGATTAATGTTGAAGCTCTGCTGGATAGAGGAGCCTGTGGCAATTTCATAGTAACCCATATTGTAAACAGCAATAAAATTCCAGCAATCAAAAAAGTTAACCCTGTCTCAGTGAGAGTTATTGATGGTGCAATTTTACCCTCTGGTCCAATCACCCATCAGACACAACCATTATTGGTAATCACAGACCACAAACATGCTAAATAGTTAAAGTTTGATATCATACCGTCACCTCATTTCACTGTTATCCTAGTGTTACCCTGGCTTCAGTTACACAAACGTACATTTGTCTGGGAAACTTTGAAACTAGAGCTTAAATCACAATACTGTTGAGAGACATGTCATACTTTTATTCCACTGCTGCTGATTGATACCATGTATTCACCAGACAAGTCAATTGAAATACATTATACATTACTGAAAAACATTATCAGGACTTCTCAGATGTATTCTGTAAAAAGGGGGCTGAGACTCTCCCACCAAACCGACCGTATATGATTGTCCTATAGATTTACTACCTGATAGTAAAATACCCTTCGGCTGGATCTATCCAATGTCACAACCTGAACTAGAGCACCTAAAAGGTTATCTAGAAGAAAATCTAAAGAAAGGGTTTACTAGACCATCTTCTGCAGGAATGTTCCTCGTCAGGAATGAAGATAAATCCTTAAGACGCATTATTGACTACAGAGAATTGAACAAAATTACTATAAAAAAGAGATATCCTCTGCCTTTAACTCTGGAAATTCTAGAACGACTATACTCTGCAATAATTTACACAAAACTAGATCTGAAGGGGGCCTACAATTTCATCGGAATTAG